TATTTTGGGAATGTTGTCAAATCTAAGGAACCTCGACTTAGTAGACGCTTATGAAGGAAAAGAGATTACCTGCAATAATGACAGTTTTGGTCAGCTCGAATTCCTTCGTCTTCTTAAACTTCGGGGCTTAGAAAGGTGGCATTTAGCCGCAACTGCTATGCCTTTGCTCAAAGGTTTTGGTATACTTGGTTGTCCGAAGCTGCAGGAGATTCCAAAAAGAATGAAACATGTTGCTCTACTTGAGATAATAATGGAAACAGAGGCGCGTTATCGCTGCCCAGGTTTCTATATATGATTGTTCGAGGCTACTCTGAAGCTTTTGATCATGGATATTCACATTTTTACCTGATACGAAATCACAAAGGTACACACAAATAAAATTTCAATCCATACTGACCATTTATTTGATTCGTTATACTCATTCTATATCAGTTTTCCATAACTTCTGTTGACCTTTTCATCAAAATAAATTTTTGTACAACGGTTTAATCTTTATACAGTGACATCATAAAAGATCTTTCACATTTTCATGATACTTAAAGACCACCTATAAGTAACTATATGTATATATTGTAACCGAGTATCATGAAAATTATAATTAATAATTTTAAATAATTGTCAATCTTTTTGTCTTTTTTATAATACTAATGGTGGAACTGTTTGATGTAATTTAGATGAAAGAGCAGGGGCTTGCAGAAAATGGGCAACTTCAGTCGAAGATGCCAAATTCTCAAGAACTCCAAGACATCTGTTTGAATGACATTAGCTTTAAAAGTAAGAAGTAAGCATGTTTGTGGCAACCTTGGAGATTGCCTCAACACTGTCAATGTGAGATTTTATAGGGCTTATGCCTGGTCAGATTGTTGTATTTCCTTTCTAAAAGCTTCAGTTTCTGCAAGATTTGGCTTATTTAGTTAAGGTTAATTAGGATCTTCTGCCAATTTGGGTTGTTACTTTACCAAGTCTTAAGGTAATATTGAGATTTATGTTCGAGTTTTTGGGATGACGTTCTCGTGATATTAAGACAGAAAATTATATTACTGTTGAGTAGGAATCTGTTCCTGTTGGTTGAATTGGTAAAAAAGAAACTGTAATTCATACTTAATAGAGAGTACAAAATATCGAGAGAACAACCTCACGAAGAGGCAAACACAAGTGACACATTAACACTTGTCCCGTAAAGTTCTCCTCCTAAACACGACTCTCAAACCCCATATGGCTACATTGTGAATGTCACTAAATGAGAAGGACGAATCTTCAATTTATAGAACTTCAAACCATTTCCTACAAGAAAAGGGACTAGCCAAATATGGAAGAATTATATTTTCCTTCTAGAAAAAGAAAAATCCAATTATGGTAAATATGTTGTCCTTTCCTTCATGATGAGATAGGAAAACCAAATATGGTAAGAAAATCTGGACAAACACCTAACAATTTTTCCCCTTGGCTTGAATTTTCTAACAAAATAAACTTAATCCACCTTCTTCATGTAGCCTTCAACAGGGTCGCATCTCCAAATCTCCATCACAAAGTTTGTCTCAACGTGCGTAGCACACCGGTCAAATTTCTCAAATAAAAATCATGATTATCGTCAAATATGTTGCAGCTAGAACTGAACCCGCTAAGATGATCCTGTCTTGAACCTCGCCCTGATACCACTTGTTAGGACCAAAAAAAGTCAGGTGTCATGCGGAAGCTAGTAAAGTAAACCTTCAATGATGATAAATCAGACAACAAAAGAGAAATCTACCAAAAGAGACACAAACATTTAACGTGGTTCGGTCAACTGACCTACCTCCATAGCGGAGATGAGCAATCCACTATATAAAAAGAGAATACAAAATATCGAGAGAACAACCTCACGAAGAGGCAAACACAAGTGACACATTCACACTTGTCCCGTAAAGTTCTCCCCCTAAACACGACTCTCAAACCCCATATGGCTACATTGTGAATGTCACTAAATGAGAAGGACGGATCTTCAATTTATAGAACTCCAAACAATTTCCTACAAGAAAAGGGACTAGCCAAATATGGAAGAATTATATTTTCCTTCTAGAAAAAAAATAACCAATTATGGTAAATATGTTGTCATTTCCTTCATGAGATAGGAAAACCAAATATGGTAAGAAAATCTGGACAAACACCTAACCCCCCCAACCCCCCCTCCCCCAAAAAAAAAAGTAATTAGAATAACATGATCAGAGTACAGTACAAGTATCAAGTCAGCTAATTTTAGTGTGAATATATTTCAATTTCATGACTTATTAGAACAAAAAAACATATTTAGAGACAACATAAAAAGCACTATTATTGATCCCAATTTTTAACAGACAGCCGTTAATGGAATATGAAATGGCAGATGGGGTATTTTTGCCAAGCACTTCAAGACGTTCGCATTCATGAAGTTGGATTGTAGAAGCATTAATGAGCTTTCTGTCACTTTACTGATTATTTCAGGGCTGTCAATGGGAGCTTATGTCAAGCTTCAGTGTTTTGTTTTATGAGTGTTTAATTTCTTTTTGTTTTGGTTCTTTTGAGTGTGGAATTGGTTTGAAGAGAATTATTTTTGGGATTGTATGCAATAATGATTTTGTATTGTCTTAATTAATTGTTCCATTGTCATCTTGCTTATCCACATTTAAAACAGTGCTTTCTGTAATATTTTCCAACACCGGTATGTGCTGGAGTTAGAGAACATGTATTTTGCCAACTCTATTCCAACTGATGCCATATGCAACTTGGTCCATCTCTAGTTTTTTGGCATTAAGTACTAACATATTTGAACTCCCGCCCTCCACAAGCAGAGTCAAAAGCCTACAATTTTTGCAAATATTCTCGATCGCTGGTTACTGCTAACTCAGATTATCTCCCCACATAACTAACTTGATTAACTTTAGTCAGTTAGTTGTTCGATATGGAGAAACTCCGCAATCTGGGAGACTTACAAGTCTACAAACAAAAGGGCAGCCCGGTGCACAAAGCTCCCGCTATGCGCGGGGTCCGGGGAAGGGCCGGACCACAAGGGTCTATTGTACGCAGCCTTACCTTGCATTTATGCAAGAGGCTGTTTCCATGGCTCGAACCCGTGGCCTCCTGGTCACATGGCAACAACTTTACCAGTTATGCCAAGGCTCCCCTTCTCAAAAGCCTACAAACACTTGAATACATTCGGTGGAAGATATTAGGAAATCTTACTCCTTGAATACCATCAGGAACTTGAGATTCTTAGCACTCTTATGCTAAGATTCTGGTGCAATATTTCCACCCCTTAAACCTCTTTCTTCTTGTCAAAACCTCCAAAGATTGTGGTTAAGTGGGAGAGATAAAAACTGCCTCTTTTGAACAAGTTGTCAAATTATATCTCACTGCTAGTCCTTAGGTATAAAAGACTTATGGAAGATCTGATGCCTATTATGGGATTGTTACCAAACCTAAGGAGTCTCAATTTGTTAAAATGCTTATGATAGAAAAGAAATTACCTGCAATGGTTGACAATTTTGGTCGGAGTTCCTTCATCTTTGTGATCTTCAGGAGTTAGCAAGTTGGCATTCAGCTACAAGTGTCATGCATGTTATTAAAGGTATAGGGTAGATTTAAGTGTTTAAAGCTATATCAGGTTACAAAAAGAATGAAACTGTTGTTATCCGTGAGAGACTCAATCAAAAGGAATGGGATTTGAATCATCGCTATCCTGTTTTCTGAACACCTGATGCTGCTCAAGATCTTTGATATACTACCTTAATATCAGGTATACTACCTTCTTTAAAAGGGAAAATCTATACTGTCCAAACTAGTAAAAGGAAAAGCTCTACACCTGAGAGCAATAAAAACCAGCCTACTTGGATTGAAAATATCACCCTCCTACTAACTGGGGAAACACTTAGTATACACCGTGCCACCATATACATAGTGACTCACCTTGATGTCCAATTTCATCACGAGTCATATTTAAAGTTAATACGCAATTAACATCAACTAAATATAACTCTATGAAATAGGAAAACATACAGTAGTAATCTCAAAACGCATAAGTTCATATCATATCAACAGTATCAGCTTATGAATCTCAAACTTTCCCCAACATGCCAGAGTATATCAATTGCATATATCTTTATAGAAAAACTCAAATCATTGAAAATAAATGCCGAATTAAATTTCCTGATCATGCTTGTTTATGAAAAAATAAGTCATAGTTCAAGCCATTGCTCACCTTCATTGCCTTATAAAAAAAAGTCATAGTTCAAGTCATCGCTCACCTCCACCGCCAATTAACTCTAATGATATTTTATGACGTCGCGTCTGGATCAACTTGCATGCACCTCAACTATTTCACCAACTCCAGTGATCACGATATGAGTGGCGCTATCGCGGTGAAGAGCTTTTAATGGCACTCCGCGATTGTGGACTTCTAGCGTGGTCGCCTAAGTAACTCTGGCCACCTAAGCTTTGGAAGATGGAAATGAATCACATAGTATTTTCGCCTCCGCTGGATTTGAAATGGTTTCTCGTAGTTCTCCTCCTACTTCATTAACCACTAGGCCACTGCCTTGGGTGCAACTAAAATCCAACTTCCGATCAACAAAATAATTCAATTCGTCAATGAAGTGTAAAGCAACACATAGTTTAGAGTTACCAACTTCATATTTTAATCAATTCAAGTAATAGGAAATCACAATGCACGTTAACTGAAGTCTTGGCTAACTCAAGGTTTCCTCGACTATGCTTTTCATAGTTATTCTCAATGAAATTCCTTACAATTTCTCCATACTCAATCCATAGGTCAATCATCACTAGATCAATGTCACCATAATAATTCTTACCCAAGGTGCCCATATCAATTAGACACAAGAATATGCTTGAAAATCCAACATCAATAGGTGTAGCCTAGAAGTATGTGGTTGCAAACTCCAAATTCTACCCGAGGAAAAAACACTAGTTGGTTTCTAAGTACACGTGTTGCTGGTGGAAGGTAGCAGGCATCTATTAATATTGTCAGTGTCCGAACACAACTGTTATAGAAACAGCCTCTCTATCTTTCCAAAGTAGGGTAAGGTCAGCATACACACTAACCTCCCCAGACCCCATATATTGTTGTTGTTGTAGTGTCCGAACACAACTGTTATAAAAATAAAAAATAAAAATTACATCTGTGCATGAAAAACCCACAATTTCCAAGCTCTCATTTCACAATTAAATCTCTAACCCAATTGTACTTCCAACAAAATGATACCCATTAAATTATAAGCAAAATTCATGGCTTGGAGACCGATTCTTACCTCAAATAGGTGAAATCAACGGATAATTATGACGGGTAACCTCCTACTCTTCCAACTCCAAGAAGAACTAGTTGAGAAATGGAGGTTTCTAATCTCGTGCTTCCTATTCAAAATTCCAATCACCCAATTGTTCTTGAGCTCAAAGTTCTCAATCGCAAAGTATTTGGAATGAATATTAAATTTCGGTCGAACAAGAACTTACTAATAACCGCTCATGAAGAAATCAGAGTCGCGACTGCGGTAATGAAGAATGCGAATACTGAACAGTTCAGTGATAACTGTATACAGAACAGTTAAATGAATATATATATACTAGTGAGGTCGGGCTAAGCCCGGGCCCAACGGCGTACTAAAAAACCTTTTAAATATACTTTATTTGACATACATTATTTATTATAGTAATTTAATCATTAATTAGTTGGCGACAATTTAAATATTTAATTAAATATTATTTGAATTTGTAGTTTTAAATTAGAGACTATTTGAGTAATTGTAAATTTCGATTATTAATGTAATTCAATTTAATAAAAATCAAAAGAAAAAGTGAAAATACTAACACAATTCAAAATTAATTATGTAGCGTATAATGACCAATATTTTTTTGGTCCTGGTTCTAAGCAAAATTTTAAAATAATTAAAAGTAATAAAATAACTTAACGCTATCATTTTCTTCATTGTTGATGGTGTTAATATGCGTACAGTCGAGTGTTACTATTTTAAAAATAAAAAATTATTAAATATTTTCTCATTCTCTTTCTAAATAATAAATGTCACACCTCCTTTTTGCGCGCCCGACCCCGAAGGGTTAAATGCGCGGG